TAGTAAATGCTCTGAAGAAAATAAAACCAGATATTGAGTTAGAAAGTGACAGGGAGGAGGTCTTAGGTTTGGATGATTGGAAGGAAGTACTACTTGAGCAGAGATTGAGATGATGAGCTGTGCAGAAGATTTTGCTGAAGAATATCACAGGTAGAGGGAAGAATAAGTGTAAAATTCCCTGGAGATGGGATCCAACAGGAACTCTGTGGCTGTAACATAGGAACAGTGGGGGAGAAAGGCAGAATATAAAATCAGAGGCACCAGCGGATGGGGGCCTTATCAGTCCCTACCCAATGGTCCTTGGATTTTATTCCAAGGACAATTGAAAGTGATTGAGTGTTTCAATGTGTGACATAATTGGATTGATGGTTTAGAAAGATTATCCTGGCTGCTCGGTTGTGTGTAATAAGTGGGATTGGATGGATGTGTGGAGGGAGTGGGGATGGATAGCATGGAAGAAGGGAGACCAGCTTGGAATCTCTGACCATGGTCCAGGCAAGAGAGGATGGTGGCTGGGTAGTAGCTGGTGGTGAGAGTGAAGAGCGCTTAAGTTCAAGGTAGCAAATATATGGTCTATACACAGCTACAATTGAGTGATTAGCTACTGTTATTCATTCAGAACTCTCCTCAAGAAACAAGATAGGAAGTAGTCATCATTAAGATGATCATTGAGACTGAAAGCTGGCCTTTGTGGATTTAAGCAGGTATAATGATTAGGGAGAATGCTACTTGTAATCAATGATGATCTTGATTATGATCATCATAATGGCTAACAGTTATTGAGTATTTATTTCAGTGAGCACATTATTTACATTCTCCATTTTAGAGATGAGGATTGAGGCTCAAAGAGAATAAGTAACTTAGCCAGTTGCTAAGTGTCAGTGCTATGCTCTTAATCATCTGAACATTTCCCAACAATTATTTCTGAGCACTTGTTATGTACCAAACACTGTCCTAGTCAGTAAGGATAAAATGATTAGCAAGGAATTCATGGTACCTGTTCTTATGAAGCCTCTTTCCCAATAAAGCAAACATACAAATAAATGGGAAAACCTATCAGATGCTGATTACAGGCTAAGAAGAAAATAAAGCCAGTGATGAGCTGACATAGAAAGTGTCTGGGATAGAGGACACAGGTTGGGGGGGAACTTTACACTGGGTGGCCAGAAACGGTTTGTATTAATTTTATGAGGCAGGATTGAGCCTGATGAATTTAAGGAACTTAATTAAGACCAGTGTGACTGGAGCAAAAAGAGAAAGGTACTCTAAAGATTAGGATTTTCGTCTTAAGAATGATGAAAAGTCTTTGAAGTTTTTAAGCTGGAGAGTCACATGATAAGATTTAAATTCTTTACTGATTCCTTTGGTTACCTTGTGGGGAATGGATTGAAAAAGGGCAAAACTGGATTGGGAATTACTAGAAAGCTATTGCTTTCTACGTCTATTGTGGTCTGCATGGATAATGGTAGCTTGGGCTAGGGTGAGTTGTTGGAATTTGTAAAAATGAATGGATTTAAGAGATGCTTTTGGAAGCTGAAAATTGACATGGTGGAGGAGGTCAGAGTCAACCCTGTGAACACTATTCACACTCCTTCATAAGTTGTTTAGTTAGCCAAAACTTATTTTCACAAAAGTCCTAATAAATATTGAACTTTAATCCACCTGTAGTTCTCATCACACATGCTAAGAGTTCTAGGAAACGGTAAGCCTCCTGAGACCAGGAGACATTGTTTGTTCCCTATTCTACCACCAGAGGACACAGCACTGATAGGAGGCCCTAACTATTGATTAAATGAAGGTGTCACTGAGAAAATAAATGAATAAATGCGGCATAATAATTAATCTTGTCCTGACACATTCAGTGTCAAAATTAAATTATTAAATTATGGAATAAAATTACCATTAAAGGTAGATTGTCTTAAATTTTGTTAATTTTCATCATTGAAGGTTAGTTTTTTGGTTGTTGTTTTTCTTGTTTTTTTTTTTTTTTTTTTTTAAATCCTCTGACTATATAAATGTGACTTCCTGGATTGAAAATCATTTAAACAGAAAATTAATTTCCCAATGTTATTTTCATACATTGCCCATATATGTTGTACAGTTTTGGAGAGGGATTTAGAAAACAGCAAGATGTGATAATAAAATAGAAACTATCATTTCAAAAGTTTTTTAAAATGGATTTTTGATCTAGATAATTTTACATCAATAGTTCAAAATCAGATTTGGAAAAAATGATGGCTTTTCTTTAACATGTGTCTAAAATGTAAATTTTCGGAGAATGGGAGACTGATTAAAGGAGAAAAGAGCCTTATTTTTCTTAAAACTAATGAGAAATTTGTTTTAAAAATACATAAATTTATAAATTTTAAGAGATAATTAGGATCTCTGAAGAAAGGGGACTGTTCATTTATGTATAATATAAGCAATTAGTCAATGTTTATTGTAGTTCTGTAGCCCAGTGTGTAAAGATTAAAATCATAATGAGTTACTCTTAGGCAAGCAGAATAATGCAACATAGGCATTTCCAGTGGAAACCTACTAACCTTACACTAGTGAGGAAAACCCAACATCTGCATTGAAATAAGGACATTCTTTGGACTCTTAAGAAATTACAGCCTTCATTTTTGTGGGTTGAAGTGTTTGGATAACTTGATAAGGAGATTATATAATTCCCTTATAGGGATATTTACTTAGCATTGTTTTTATTTTGTAACAATAACAAATGACAAATGTAACTTCAGAAATAGGAAACAAAATGACAATTATATCCCTGGATGATCAAAGTTGTGAGATCAAGAAGTTATAGAAATATTCAGCTTTCTTTCTCGTTTCACTTATACTTTTAAGATTGTACATATTTCCTACCAGATCTGCACATTCCCTGTGGTGGAGGAGGTCAGTGTCGACCCTGTGAACACTATTCACACTCCTTCACAAATTGTTTAGTTAACCAAAATTTAGTTTATTTTTACAAAAGGTCCAATAAATATTGAACTTTAATCCACCTATATTTCTTAAAATTCTGCATGATCTTGATTGTGTATTTTTTTTACATACATAAACTATCTGATGTTATTCTTTTTTAATATAGGATTATTTCATACAAATATTTCCATGTTCTGACATTATCTAAAAATTTATAATTTTGAAGAAAGAGTATTATTCAATAAACCATAATGGCAAGTCCTATTCCAAATTTATTAAAAATAAGTTTAGATTCAAACACACTCCCCTATATGCATTATTTATGCTAAAAAAGTTTATCCTGCAAGAGCAATATTATCCTTCATATTACCGTTTCCCAGAAGAGAAAAATTTTTAAATGTGCCTCATTTAATGACTTTTAAATACATACAAAGCATTCTTTTAAGCATTTTTTGAAAATTGAATAAAAAATGTTTAAGAAAAAAAGTGTTAACTTTATGTTTTAAGGAAAAATATTGAAAATGTTATCTGGAGTACCTCCCTTTAGGATGACACTGCTGCCGTCCTAGCTTTCCTTTGGAGTTGGGAGGACGAGTGTAGTCTCCTTAATATTCTGGCTAGGTCATTGTCTCATTCTGGGAGCTTTCAAGCACTCTCCTGAGACTGCCTTACAAAGTCCAGTAGAAATATTCTGTATGTGAACTCCCATAGACAGCATTTACAACAGGTTGTACAAGGTATTTACGATTGGGTAGAACGATGTTGATATCCTGTGAGTCATTTTTATATTGTCTTCCTGTTTATATTCTAAATTTTGTAAGTATTGTTTAGGACTTTATTTGCTAGTCATGGGATTTTATTTAAGGTAAAAATCCACATTGTGCAATGTATCTTGCAGAAGCAGAAGTGAATTTTAGCAGCTGACATATAGCCATAAAAAAGATTGTTTAAATGAGAGAAATTATCTTTAATCATATTTTCGCTTTGTAGTTTTGCCCCATCATTCAGCTTTTTAATTAAATAAACTATAATGTTAGGTTTGATTAAAATATCATTGTTAGAAAATTTGAAACTCGTGGGGCTTTTAGCCTTACGACTGAGACTTCCATTTTAAAAATAAAATAGCTGAATAAAAAATAGTTTGCTTTAGTTCAGAATACATACATAAAGTGTTTAATTATTAAATGTGAAAAAAGTTTTGAGTAGCCTGTGTTACATTTTTTTAAGCTTGACCAGAATCTTTCTAAGAAATATGAAAATTAATTTTAAATACTGAATCTAAAACATGTTAATGAACTAAATCAAATTGAAGCATTTCTAATTTTATCTATCTTCCCACCTTTTACCCTTAAGTATTTAAAATATTCATAGACAAAAGCCATCCCTTATCATTTCACTCCAGTTAACAGTGCATAAACTGAAGTTTGGATATTTTCTCAAAAGATGTGGCAAAATATATATTTCAAGTGCATTAACCACTTTCCTTAAGCTTCTGAAGATAAATGAGTTGCCTGAACATCTCAAGAGCTTGAAAGTTTGTCGTGATGGAAGGATAGATTGCAAGTGAACGTGTTGGCCTTGTAAATTCTACTCCTGGAACTGTAGCATAAGCGTCTTCTTAAATAAAGAATGACGCAGTCATAAATTTATGTATACCATGACACTTGGAAATATTAAAGTTTCAACTTTCCATATGTCAAAAGAGGAGAAACGGTTATTTTGATACAGTTGAATGTTATGTTGGAAATAGTAGTCTTTTCATTGTATTTTTCCCAGACCCAGACTGGCAGTTAACTCAAAGTACTTGATCCTTTGGAATACTCTTTTCCTCCCATTTCTTCTGTCTTTCCACCCTATCCCCTTCAAAAAAAGTCATGACATAGAAAACCATACTTAGTTTATAGATGAGTATTCTTAGAATAATGTATTCTTTGTCAAGCATCAGACTGAAGTTATATTGTTTTGTTATATCGAATTTTTATATTGATGTGGTGCTGCAAAGCCGTGTACAATAAATGTCAAGGGTAGTGATTTACTGACAACAATTAGGAAAAGAGCACTATAGAATGCACAAGAACATTTTCAGAAATGGGTTTTATTATATTCCATAGGCACCACTCACTTTACTTTTGGTGGGTTTTAATATTTGAATCAAAATAATACATAGGAGGTAAGTATTAAACCAACAGATTAAAGCCCCAGGTCCCCGAGCCCCTCATTTTGGTTGTAGCTCTTGGTGTAGATGCTATCATGTGAGGGCTGCTTTCTTTCAATGGCTGGTTGTCATTCAGGCTGGGTTGTCATGTGACTGCCTGTCTGTGCCTGCTGTACAGGTGAGCGGATGTTCTGCACAGCAAGTGTAGACAGGCAGACACATGACAACTCTGTCCAGCCAGGCCCTTGGTTCCTTCAGGTTTCCTTTGCTCATAGATACAATCAGCCTGTGTTCCAGATTTGGTGATTTTGGAGAATAAGGGGAAAGGGAGAAAAATACACAATATAATTAAACATTAAAACGTTATGGAGCTAAAAACAAGTTAGACTTTTGACTTTATTCAGAAAGTACATTTATACATTTATTCCAAATGTGCTAACATGGATAATTGGAATAGCAAAAAACTCACATTAAAATTTTAAGGAAGAAAAGAGATTAAACACAAGGTTTATTCTTAAATTCAATTCATATTATTACTGGCCCACATGTAGTCAGAGTTCAGAGTGATTGAACCAGTGCTTTTCCTCTTTGCAAAAAACTGCATATTTTAATACTGAAGTTAAAGATAAAAACTATGTTTATACATGTTTCTTTTAGTAGATAAGTACCATAACCTTGCCCACGAAAAAGAAAATTATCATTTACATGGAAATGGCAGCCTTTTCAAAATAATTAATGAGCCTAATGTATTTGGCAACCCAAGCTACTGACTTTGGTATCTGATGCTTTGATAATAGGATTTTACAAGGGAATATGTTTTTACCAATTATATGTTAAACGCCAGGAACCTATTTAAATGTCTCATTTTCCTTTTAAATGAAGTTTGTAAGTGTGAATGTGAAATCAAATTAAAGGCAGTTGAGAGCTTAACTTTTCCACCTCTTAATTAACTACAGGGTCATGCTGTGAATCAACAGGGCATAAACTAGAAGGTTGTTATTCACAGTGATGCTCAGAATGTGTTTTGGATATAGTTAGTACAATATAGTTACAAAATAGTGCCTTAAATACAGAAAAGTCAAATTCATTTTATATCCAAAAATTAAAACCAGATCCTTTGAAAATTTTTCTTCTAATTTATATAAGAGCTAATAGTGTTAAATATACATATATAAAATTTAATTCTGGTGAGTCGAGAATAATTCTACTATTTTAATATCAATTATCAACTCACATGTATAGAAGTATTAAGCAAATTCCCCTCCCCTTTTAAAAACAAAAATAACCAAGTAGTCAAAATTCCAGTAAGTAGAACTTCTTAAAAAATACAGTATTGTCCAAGGATTGTATAATTAGAAATTTTCTCAAAGAACTTTAAGAAAAACACATAGTTTGTGATTTGTCTTTAATTGTAAAATTCTGAGAAAATAGCAAATACAAATTTAATGGAAAGCAAAATAGTTTTTAGATACTGAGAAAATGACAATTTTCTACAAATCTGAACTTTTATGCAGTGATTAGATAAGGTAATGTTTTAACAAAAGCTAATAAGTGCCATTTTCTGTACATTTACGTAATTTCGAGAAAGTAACTTTCTGATTGTCTTTCTGGCCATCACTTCCAAGTAAAGGAACTTTTTTTTCTTGACAGAATAAAAAACATGAGTAAACTTGGCTGCTATTTAAATAATTACAAGTTCAAAGTATGCCAAAAACAAGTGCCTTAAAATACTATTGTGTTATTGTTGCTGCATTCAGTGCAACAGAAAGTAATTATAGAGTGATTCACTTACAAAGATATCTTGGTAGAAATTAAAAAATTACTGTAATTCTGTATAGCTTTTCCTCTCTCTCCCATAAATAATTTGATCCAGTTAACTCTGCTCAATTAAAGGAATGATGCATGCAACCTGAAAAAATAAAAAGAAATATTTGTGAGTTTGTATGTCATGCTTTAATATAAAACAGTTTTATTAAAGTAAGATATACATTTTTTTTTTTTTTTGAGCCAGAAAAACCACGACAGTTTTTCAGGGGGAAAAAAATCTTGCTGAAAATGATTGTTCTTTTCATAAGGCTTTTGGACGATTTATGTTTCTGATAGATTTTAAAAACAACCTTACAGTAAGTATGTGACATATGAATACTTCATAGGTATGTTAAACCTGCCCCTAAACTTGTTAAAAAGACGAAAGACTAAAAAACTTACTGACTTTTTTTAATCTCCCAAATTATAGGTTGAATAGTTTATTATTCCTTAAAATGCTAGCTAAAATATAAAAGAGTTATTTATATTATCATACCAGGTAATTTTTAGTATGTTTATTATACCTCATTTTCTTTTTGTCTTTTATTTCTTGTCTTAAGGAAAAAAAATGTAAGAAAAGAATTATCTTCTATGTTTTCTGTAGTAAAATTAAACCAAAGCAACTCCAGGAAACTGGCTGTCACGCTAAGTCAGAAAATTCAAAATGAAGATTTAATTATTTTTCCTAATTTACTTTGTTATCGCTGTTAATTCTGATAAAAAAATTATTCATAAGAGACCTTTGAAAATGGGTAAATATTTATATCTACATAATTTACAAAACATGAAAGTAAAAGGGGATTTGAAGTAAGAAAGTTTCAATCTTAACTCAGGAATTTCCTGTCTCAGGTTAAAGCCTGACCTTCTAGTTATTTTAAGCCAGGATTTCTGAGTGATGGTCTCTTAGTTATTATTTTGACGTTATTGTGATGGGTGGGCTATTCTCCAGAGAGCAGAGTGAAATGCATTGTTTATAAAGAGCAGATCCCTTTTAGAGTAAGTGAAAGCTTTGGCGTCTCTTTAGCGAGCATGGACGCTTGTGGATGAGTGAATTTTTTTACATCACCAAGTTGTACTTTTTAGTTTCATAACAGCTTAAGACTTCAAAAAAAGTGAGAAAAATTCTTTCATTAGGATTTTTATGCCTAAACTCTTTCCCACAGAGTGAAATACTTGGGTGGTCTGTAGGCAAGAGGTGGGGGTAGATAGTATATTTGGTCTTTTACAAACAAACATATTATCTGGGCCGAAAGCCTGAATGCCAAGCAGGAAGGATATTAAGCCTATTGACTAACTACAGGGAAGTGATCAGCGTGAAACTTCGTCCCATTGTAAACAATCTGTCTTTGATTTTGAGATCTGTGGCCTAAAAAAAAAATGGGTTTGAAAATTTAAGTCCATTGTTTTAGATTGATCCTTTTTCAATTAAGAAATTATGGTGTTGAAGCTAAGGCTCTGAACTTCCTTTCTCTTAAATGGCGGAAAAGTCCTTTTAACCCAGTACCTAGTCCAATTTATCAATCATTCACAGGCTAACATGAAAAATAATTATGAAATTTCTATGGAAGGTAGTTTGGACAGACCTTGAAAACAATTTTCTCTTCATGACCATGTACAATGTTTAATTTTAATACACTTACCATTATATCCAGGGGTAGTTTTAGTTGAAGATGTTCACTGTTGGTTAGTTTCCTCTGGAATAGATTCCATGATCCCTAAAATATTTGTATATCTCCTTATAAAGTAATATCAAAATGAAATTAAACATTTTTCTAATTTACCTGGATTTAGATACGGCTATGATGTATCTAAACGTGGGCATGTGTACTAGCACATAAACCACAACCACAATCCTGCCTTCATTCAGCAGAGTTTTATAAAATAAACTTACTTTTGATCTTTAATTTAGCCCATGTAATTGAAAAATAAGTACTATTCCTTTTTCATTTGTTAAAAGTTTGCCTCAAAAATAAGACATTAGAACAACACTGAGCAGGGACTACTTGGTTACCCCTTTACAAAGTAATTCTTCTATTTCTACTCCTGTACTTATGCCAAGGGGAACCTTTATGTCCCATCTATCTCCAGACTAAAAGTCATCCTGAGGGAGAAAATAGGTGAGGGACCAGTAGGGATTCATTTCATGGAAACAGAAAGACTATTTAGCATGAAGAAAGAAATTTAAATTAAATATACATTAAATGAAAGCAAATTATGAAATACAATCATTTCTAGAGTAAAAAGTAACCCAGAAAATTTGAGAAAACTTAAACATTACCAAAGTAACTTCTGAGCTATTTTTCCTTTTCATTAATTGTATCAATTAGAAAAAATATATTTCTTGGAAAAATTAGCTCCTGTAAGTTACTTTTTTTTTTAGTTTTCCTATGTAAAAGAAACTGTGTAGATTTTTAATATCTCATTTGTTCTATTAAACATAATTAACATGGAACTCTCCAAGTCACAATAGAAAATGAAAGGAAGATTTTACTGTATCATCTAAGTGAAAGTAGCTAAATTTCTCCTTGCTGTTAATATTTTAACTAAGAATCATGAATAGATAAGAATACTTATGTGTTCTTTATACACATTTTGGTGTGATCAGAAGGGTAATTTAAAAAAATAAGTTGTTTTGACAAAAGAAAACTTAGGGAATCTTTTATAATAAAATACTTTGCTAAAGAGAACTTGAGTCAATTTTTGAATTGTTGCAAAATGTATAATTTAATAAAGAATTTGTTCAGGAACCACTGTAACTTTAAATAGTTTAAAAGAGGACGAAGAGATTACATTTTTTTTTACAACCCCTGTAGAAGAGATGTTTTCATTATATAGAATTGTTTGGGAATAGAAATAAATAGGGGTTAAGAGAATTAAGGATGAGGCAATAACATTTTTCCAGAACTTTCTTTAAGAGACCCACTAATGTTCAGCACAGATCACATTGCAATCCAGACTTTCTCTATTATTTTCTCTATTAAGGTTTCATTCAGCTTGAGGGTTTTATTCCCTCCCACCTTCCTCCCCCTCTCCCACCCTCCTTCACCTCCAGGACAGCTGGAAACTGACCAAAGAAAACTCCTGCCTTCGTTTACAAATTCCTTTTTTATCAGTGGTTTCTAGACAAAGTGCCTTATCATTTTAAGTGCTCGGGAAAGCGGAAGCATTGGAAACTGTAGGCAAGAGGGCTCAGCTGAGCAGCAATTATCAACCATTCTTTGATTTAAAAAAAAATGTAAAACAGAGATGTTTACAGGAGTATCTAAAGATAGATGTTTTTATTCCCCGATTTACTCAGTTGCTAACTCAATAAGTTGTGGGTTGGTGCTCTTCTCTGGGCAAATCCCAACTGCATTGTCTGGTAGGCAAAACTTGGCAGGTTCTTCTTTTATTGTTAGGTACTATTATTCCTGGTGTTTATATTATAGCAGGAAATCTTCAGAAAATCACTATCTATGTAGCATTTAAAAACCAGCTACTGTTCTCTACCTTGGGGAAAAATGACTTCAGTCCTGGGATGTTAAAACTTATACACACAGCCTTTATCCATGTAAGTTTTTAAGTCTCTGAATTATTATTAAACAATTCAAAAGTAGCCTCATTAAACTCTTCTTAAGTGGCTGGAGTGAATTTTTTCATATTTCATTTTGAAGTGGGAAAACTTTTACACTTAAGAAAACACTTGAATTATCAATCTTCAGAAATCAAAAAACAGTAAATCGCTATGTACCACACACTTCTGCTCTTTTAAGATTAAACACATCTCTACCCATCACACATATACCTTTGTTTCCCTCGCATGTTAACACAAATCACAGGCTCCCCACCTAGGTTCCCTTGGTCACAGACCAGGTGAGCAGTCAAGAAGGCCTTACCCGCTGGTCTTCCCTTCGGTGGTCTTTTCTCAGCAGTGTCCCGAGGGCTTCTTGGTCCCTCGTGTGGAAAACCTGTGAAGAAAAAGACTGGACATGAGATTCAAAAAAGGAGCAAACAAATGTCTTCTCCTTGGAAACAGCCCATTTTGTCCCCAGCAGTTCATGGCGTTGCTCTCCCTTGCCCAGTCTAACCAATGTGCAGACTACTGTACAACGGCATTGTCCTGAACAGGTAGTCTGAACACTGGGGCGACGGAGCAGGATCTCCAGAAGCTTCCTTCTATGTACTTAAAATCCTCTCCCAGTCCTCAGGAAAAGCCTCCCTTCCTGCACCAGGGGTTGCATTCAGCTTTCCCCCCTGAATTCTGCTGCGCTGACTGAGACACACTCAAGGGCTGTGATTTCCAGTCTTGACGTGGCACATTTGCTGCAGACTGGGGAACTGGCAATGAATTTAGGACCAGGAAAAGGGGGAGGGCTGGGCTGGAGAGTCCATATATGGGATGATGTCACCCTGGGGAGGTTTGGGTATGCGCTGTGCCGCTGGAGAGACCGCTAGAATCGCCTGCTCTCAGACATGGGTCTGTGCATAAAATGGTACCAGATGTTTTAGTGTAACGTTAAGCAGTCATTTCATCTTCAGGCCAGATTTTTTTCCTCAACTGGGCAGGAAGTGGGCCCCAGTATGGAAAAGCTGTAAAAAAAAAAAAAAAAAAAGAGTCAAGATGTACAGTTCGGCTGTGGCCAACTGAAAGTGAGTTACTGTAGAAGTACAAATTTACTGTCTGACCCAGGCTGGAGAAATAATTTGAAGATAGATGGTAGATAAAATAGTAAACAGAAAGTTGAACACTGGAAGGCAGAGCTCATTTGGAAACCTTTCTGAGCTTTCCTGTGGCATTTTATTTTCTGGTATTTCACTCGTCAAAAGGGGCAGATAAGTTCTCTCTCTCTCCCTCTCCTCCACCCCCTCTTCTCTTTCTCTTTCTCTCCTTCTCTCTCTCTCCCTCCTTCTCCTGTCTGTTGGATCTGTCAGCAGCTTGCAGGCTGCTCTAGACTTGAACAGTAATTATAGCAACTTCCTGAAAGTGAAGCCCCCATGAAAAGTCTGGAGAAATGTTCTTTGTCATGGCCTCTACATGAGTAATTAGTTCCACATGTGGCCTTCCTAGTTTCCCTCAGCTATTTTGGCTGGCTCTCTGAATGCTGTGCTATAGTTTGACCTAAAGAAACTTTAAAGTTTTGATTTCAAGCATCCACTATGAAATAGCAACTCAGGTCTTCTAACAAATCGCCTCTGAGAGATCCATGCTGTTAGGTATAACATTGTTTTTCACTGGTAATTCCTGATTCTGTTTTGATACTTTTGTTTTCATGGTATTCTGTGGCTTAGTTTTATCTCTGGTTAACTAAATCTGTTGAAATTTGCCAAGTACTTTTTGACCAGAGGTTATAAGATATCAGCTCACTGGCATCAACTTTTCCTTCCCTGTTGTGGCTGTTTTCAATTATATATACTTTTGAATATTCTGAATATGTAGTTCTCTCACTTTCCCTCCATAGGATTCTGATTAAAGCTAGAGCTGCCTCAAACAAAAGCTTGATTAATGTCCCTTCTAAAGACCAAAATGTAAGAAAATTTCTAGGTAGCTTCCAAATTTAATTTGACTAACCAAACTAAGAAACCTAGCATTCTTTAAAGAAGTACAGCCAAAGCAATCCATTTCTACTGGCCTTCTGAAATGCTTTTCAGAAGTAGAAAGATAAGTGCTGCATTGTATATTTCAAAAAGCTTAAGTGAGTACTGACCTAAAGCATTTGCTTTTCATAAAATGGCCTCTTTTGAATTATCAAATAGCACACTCTAAAGAGTTCAAAAGTTATGACAAGGCCTTGTTATCTTGTGAGAAAGATTAAATAAGATAAACATGAATTATCTGGCATCTTAGGATGGAATAGAGATTAGCACTGGGTACATCATTCACAGAAACATTTATATCCTCAGCGAGAGTCAGAGGAATGACTTTATATCACTGTACTTTTGCTTCCATACTTACGTCTTCAGGGCCTATTCAGTAGAGCTTGCACAGGCGCCACAAGACTCACCTCCCTTTTTTCTTTGTCACTGCTTCCATATTATTGGAAATGATGTAAGTGTGACTAAATACAATCTAATAGTTGTATTAAATGTGGATACCAGCTCCATTCTTTTTAAAGTATCTGTGTGGTTACTCACATGAAGTCCTCCTCATAGAGGAGCCATGAGCCACTTGAGCCAGTAGTCAGCCAGCATTCCAGGTGTAGACCTGCTTCTGCCACCTGGCAGAAAGTGAAAAGCCTTTCTTCTGCCCACTTCCATTTATGTCCATGAGACATGCCTTGGAAATTTTTGTCAAGCAAACAAGAGGTGGTTCTGATCAAATTGCTCCATGATTTCACCTTAGCTCTCAAATGGTTCTACTACCTACACCAAATAGGGATCTTACAATATTTCAATCAAGAGACTTAACTTTATACTTACCTTCATGACTTTCAAAATATCTTAAGGAATTTTCTTCAGAGACAGCTATAAAAATTGAGTTCCTCTTAAAATATACATCCATCTCCTTGGGTTTCTAGTTAATTGTAGGGTTTGAGGGTGCTATTGCCTCCACATAGTTCAACAAGTATTTATTCTTGGCTGTTCATGTACTAGTCACAATACCAAGGACTGGGCATACAAAGATTAGGATCTGACTGCTGCCCTCAAAAAGCCCACACTTACATAAAATGTTAGGAATACTCATCTGTGACCAAGTGCAGTTTAAGAAGTCGATCATTCTGCTCTGAAAAGTCCGGGGCATTGATTTGGAAATGGCTTAATGACTTTCCTTATGTCTGTAAAGTTATCACTTGAATACCCAAAATGTATTGGGCCCTAGAAGGCAAAGTTAGATGTGACAAATACTTGACTTTGAGGAACTAAAGTTATTTAATTTGCTTATTTCAAAAGTTGTTGGCTAAAGTGATTATTGAATCAATAGATGGTTTTGGGTGACTACAAAATTTACTCTATTTGAAAGTGTTATGAAAAGAAAACACTGTTTCAGTTGGTTATTGTTCCCAATCTTGGCATGTTTTTATGACTTTGGAAATTCTCAAATTGAAACCAGGACTGAGGCTTCTTTCTATGTACCTCTAAAGGGGCAGAGTTACTAGTGTTTACAATTATTTTGTGATATCCAGATATGCATACTTCAGCTAATATTTACATAGCCTTAAATTTTTTTTGTTACAAGACTAATGCACAAGTTCAAACAATAGAGAGGTATGGCAAGAAAAAAATCATTATTCCTTCCAACTTCTTAACCCTTTCTGTCTTCCCAAACTAATGGTAATTGTTTGGCATAATTCCTTTGACTACTTTCTCAGCTTCTTTAAAGATTACAAAATCTGTTAATGTATAATGTATTAGTTTCTTGTAATAACCTGTAGCTATCCCCATTTTATTGATGATTAAATCAAGGCTCAGAGAGCTTAAACATTACTTCATCAGAGTACACAAATGGCAGAACTCAGATTTTTTTTTCTAACGCCAATGCCTGTGCTCAGAAGAATATTGTCAGCTTACAGAAACAACTTGTTCCCCTACCGAATCTTACAGTGCTTATATATCCGGTTATTAAAATGCCAATTAATTATCTGCTGTGCTTTCACAGTTTTGTACGAGATGTTACCTGTACTAGTTGTTATTTTATGTATTTGAACTTTTTTTTCCCACATAAAATATAAGCTAATTGAAGGCAGGAACAATATCTTTGCATTTTCTTTGGCTCATAGTAGACCATTGAGTAAACTTTTAAAAGAATGAGTAAAGAGCTATATGGTATACATGTGGTTTCTGCTCAAATATTTGTCATGATAATAGCTTAAGAATTAAAGCCCTATTTTAAAAAATCATGAAGAACAATGTACATTTAATATTTATATATGTGTACTGCAGCTACAAACCAAATTGGACTATTCTTTTTAAAATAAATGTAAACATTGAGCCAACCATATTTCCTTGCTAATTTTTGGCCTTCTAATTTTCTGGAAGCATCCTGTGCAGCTATCAGTCATACAATCTTGTGTGAAAAGCAGGATCTAACCAAGTTGTAATGTTTCCTTTCTTCTTGTTTTCTCCTTTCTAGTTTGTAGCCAAGATAAAAATCTAGCTGACCTTAGTTCATTGCAAATTAGAGAATATAGCCCCACTTAGTCAGGCTTTATGTTGTGTGGATTCGCACTTTTTTTTTAATTGGAGGCAGTGCAGTCCCCTAATCCCCTGCATTTCCTACTTTGTTAGGGCCCAAAGGACTAGGTAAGTTGTAGCTAAGCATTCCACTTTTCTCCCTTTGCCTGAATCACAAACAAATGGCTGCCCTCAAATCACTGCCGTGTAAGTGCCTTCTTAGACAGAGATGTAACATCAGCCTGTAAAATAGAGAGAAATATTTCAGACGAGTAAGAGATTTTCCTTCAACAACTGAAAAAGAAGTTAAGGTAGAACAGCTATAAATCATAAACTTAATGCAACTGAATTTACAATCTTCAGAACGCTTACAAAGGACGAAGATTGTGAGAAAATTGATTTTAAAAACATACATTTATGGATGTATGTTTTGTTTTTGCCTGTCTCTAAAATTTCCATTCCTGAGTCTGTTTATTTAGAAATCAGCTCCTAACCAAAAGCAGTATATATTTTATGAACATTCTTTCCTCAAATCAATTGAGGAAGATAATGTTACATCCTTGAGTTTTACTAACCACTGGCGAGCACGGCAGCCATTTTTATATTTCAGTAACATAATACATCCAGCAGACAAATCTTAAAACCTACTCTGTTGGATACCAGTCACAAGAAGGTAAATATATGATTTATGACTCCAGTAAAATTAGAAGCACTGTCTTGAAATCTTTAGGGGAAGACAAGTTAAAAGGATCAGAAAATTGTTGCTGGCCTTTTCAGGCTGATTTTAAGTGAGAGCATAATAGGAGTGTAGACTGCTGCCTGCTTCCACCCTCAAAAACTGACGAGCATCATCTGAGTGCTATGTGCTACAGGCTCCCATTGAATTCCATGTTACAATCAGACTTTAAAATGAGGACTGGTTACCTTAGACAAGAGAAACATGGTGTCCTCAGGTCACCTGACAATTTTAGAATATTGACTCCTGATGTCTTCTGGCAATACCAGTATTTTATTTCCTTGGTGTGACTCAAAATGAATATGTTGTGATATCCAAAAGAAAAAATAACCGTATGTGCATAATAAAAGGACTCAGAAACTACTTTTTTGCAGAGGCGGAGAAAGCACACTTTCTGTGGATAGGGATACAAGTTAAGCATAATGACTACAAG